GGGGGGGGCAGCACCGGGACCCGACGGGGCGGGGGGGGCCCGGTGCCCGCCGCGGGAGGTGACGCCTCGGCCTTGAGGAGTGTGAGCCGGGGGGCCGCCGGGCCAGCCATCCCCCCGCGGTCCCCCCATCCCGGCGCCGCCCTGTGTCACCTGCGGCTGCGGGGAGCGGGCGGTTTGGGACACCGATACCTGCTGGTTTCGGTGGAGGAGTCGAGGGTGCAAGACGTAGTGGGCTCCGGGGAGGGGAAGGTTCACCGAGCCGCACCAGGGGGTTATCCCCGGGAAACGGGGCTTTATCCCGGGGTAAGTGGCTCTGGCGCCGGGGCAGGTCTGGGGCGCGGCGCTGTCGCCGCCACCGCTGTCACTGGCCTCGGTGGGACCTGGCGGCGCCGGACTGGGCACTGGGTGCCGGTGTGCTGCTGTGTGGACAGGGATGCAGCATCCCTGGACGCGACCTGGGGGTGCCTGCGTTGTGCATTTGTTGGGATTTCAGGGAGCCCCGCGCCTCTGCCCCCCTCCAGGGTGCTCCTGCGCGGCCGGGGGACTGCGGGGGAGACACCCCCCCCCCATCCCGACCCCGCCCAGTGGGATGCCGAGCCCATCTTGCCCCTCCCCGACGCGGGCAAAGTGGTCGGCGTGTGGGGAAGGGAGGTGTATTCCGGCTTGATGCTTCTTGAAAGAAGCTGAGGAATCCAGGGAGCAACCTCTGGCTGTGCCGCGCCGGCCGGGCGGAGCCCCCCGAGTTCTCGGGCTCCCCCCGCGCCCTTGCCGGCACCTCGGGCCCGGTGAGAGCGGTGCTGGCAGCCGGCCCGGGGCATGGCCGCCCTGTGCTCGGGGCGTAGCCGTCCACGCCGGGCACACGTGTCACCAGCAGGAGCCTCGGTTGTCTCTCCCGGGGACCAGAACAGCGGGCGCAGTGTCCCCTGCACAGGGTGGATGCCGCAGGAGCTGGTGGCCGTGCTCAGGGCTCAGGCCATGTCCATTGCAAGCTGTTGGCTGAAATCCCAGCGCCCCACGTGTCCAAAACCTGCTCTGGGGTTGTGGGTATCTCCCTTCTCCCTGGCAGTGCTGGCTGCTTGGGCAGAGTGTGGCCAGAGCTGAAGCCCGTCCTTGAACGTTCCTGTGACCCTCTTCCCTGCTGTAAAGCAAACAGAGGGAGCATGGGGGATGCCTCTCCTCAGTTAGGGGTCACAGAGATTTCTGGCAGGGAGGAGAGCGAGCAAGGGCACAGGAGCAGGCTGGGCTGGTTCGTACCCCCGCCCTGACGCACAAGTGATGCTCAAGCAACAAGAGCTGCAGGAGGTGCCTGGCCCCAGGTGGATCAAAGGGAGTCCTGGGGGAACACAGCCTCGCTCGCTGGTGACTCACAGCTGTGGGACTCCTTCTTGCAAAGCGCTGAGTCAAGGAAGTCGAAGAAGGCTTGGGAGATTTCCCTCCCCTCCCAGGCTGTGGGCAGGAGCTGTGGGAAGAGGCCATTTGAATGGGAGGATTTTGCTTCCCTCCCTCCAAATGTCCAGTGCTGGTCATGGCTGGAAACCTCTTATTAGACGCTGCCTCTGGGGAGAGCCAGCCCTGTGTCCAGATGGGTAGGGCCATGCAACCCTGGGGGTGTCCCCAAGACCCCCTTGCAGTCAGCAGGCAGGGGTCAGTTGGCCCCCGTGTCCCTGGGCTGCTGGGGCTCCATCCTGCTGGCTCCTCCGGTGGCCCCGGTGCCTCTGCCTGCCGGGTCACCGCTGACTCAGGGCTGCACGCCGCGCTTGAGCTGGGCGTGCGAGCCTGGATGTACTTCCCCGCTCCTCCCAGTATCTGCGTAAGGATTGGCCAGGAATCACAGCCAGGCTGCGCCTAAAGGGCTGCCAGTGGGCTCTGCGCCGGGCTCTGACCGGCAGCCAGCACTGGCTGAGGGAGGGGACTGGAGATGCTGAGCGGTAAAACTGCTCTGTAGCCTGATCTGCACAGTGGGGTGGTGTCCTGGTGTCACTGGTGGACTCCGCTTCCAGGCAGAGGGTCTTGGGGCAGGCTGGCCCAGGCTGCCGAACTGGCTGCAGAGCCCCAAAACACTACAGGCTCCTGGTCTTTAAGGCTGCCCTGTCACAGGCTGGGAAGATCTGGGATGGGTGTCTGCGGGGCATTGCTGTGGATTTTTGGGCTTTGATTCCCAGCCTGTTCCTGGGATGCCTGTGTTCTGGGGTCACACGGGGCTCCTGGCTGTGCTGCAGCCAGAGGTGCCTGCTCTGTCTGATTGGAACAAGTCTCTGAAGAGCCCCAGGAACCAGGGGTTTGGGCATGTGATTTTAGTGCTGCCATATTCTAGGAAACACCTATTTAGTGAAATGCCTGCTCTTCCTCCATTGCAGTTTCCTGTGTGCTAGGCAGGTCCTATACAGGGACAGGGTACATTTTGTCCTATGTGGGATCAGGCTCATGTGGGTCAGCTGCATCAGATGAGCATCCCCCAAGGTCTGGCTGGATTCTCCCAGTGCTGCTCCAAGGGGAGGAAGACAGCTTGCTGCCTGATCCCAGCCAGCTTTGGGAGGGAGGTGCTGGTGACATGCCTACGCTGCTGCTCTGCTCAGCCAGGGGCTGCAGCTTCTGCCCTCACCTGGCATCTGGCTTTTCATGCCTTTTCCTGGCCTTCCTGCAGCACTGGACTGTATGGCACCATGAACTGTAGTGCAGAGACCTTTCTGAAGTTACTTAGCATTACCCAAACATCCCTGGAGGTGGCTGAGGGACAAGAAAGGATGTGGGGCGGGGAATTTGAAGGAAGAAGAGTAACAAAGCTGGTTTGGTCCTGAATTGCAAGCACAGAGCATGTCCTCTGGTAGCCTGCAGCAGAGGTGTTGGGTAGGGCACCAGCAGTGGCAGCTGGCTACATCCCTGTTGCTGACTCCTGCGATTTGTTATGAATTTCGTAATGGTTTTGGGCTTATCTGAAGCGCCAAGAGCCAGAGCTGGGGGAGCACGTGACAGTCCATGGGATGGCGGGAGCCTGCCTGTCCCCTCCCTGTCCCACATGAGCAGTGTGTGGTGTTGAGCAGAGGCTGCGGTTTTATCAGTTCATCTTTTCCAGTCACGCAGCTGCGGAGTGAATCAGGCAGAAATTTTTGGTTGGAGGCATCCTGGTAACCGGACAGGTCTTGGTCTGAAAGTGGCACACCACGTTGTGCAGTGGGGTGGATACTCCCAAAAGCAAGAGGGAATAATCCCTGTGCCAGCTTCTGACCTGCAGCCGTGTCCCACCTGCCTCCCCTGCGTGTTTGGGGTTGGGGTGCTCAGCCACGGTTTGCAGCACAGGCTATCAGGAGCCCGTGTGTGCTGTGGAGGAGATCAGCACTGATAGTGGGGCTGTGCAAAGTGTTTACCTGGCTCCCCATGCTCCTCAACAGTGCTTTTCCCTCGAGGATGACTTGAACTTAACGTCGTTGGATGCAGAAACCATCTTGGAGGCTGAAGAGATCCTCGGGACAATGCAGAACTATCTTGACTCCTCTGTGATCTCCATCATTGAGGATCTCTCTCTGTGCGAGGTGGGAGCTCACACACGGGTGCGGGATGTGGTGGCTGGGATGGCTCTGGCTGTGACGTGGGTGGGAGTGGGAGCAATGTCCCCCAGGGCCAGGTCTTGTGGCTGTGCCCCATCACCCTCTGAGACTGCCCCTGCTCTTTAGCAGAGCAAGGTCTGCCTGGATGTGCAGAACGAGCTGTCCTTGCTGACTGCCATCACGGAGATCCTGGACAGCACGGATGATGAGACCCTGTCCCCCTTTGACACCATCATGGATGCAGAGCTGCTGACCTCGCCTCGTGAGCGGGAGAATCCCTCGGTGAGTTGCAGGGCAGAGCCAGCCTGACCCCAGAACCTGTGGGAAGATGCTCAGGCAGGGCTCTGCTAGGTCCTGGCATGAGGGTGTCCTGAGGTGGTAGGACCCTCGTCCCCAGTAACCTGGGATGGTTCCTCTGACTAGTAACATGAGAGAAGGGCTGAACCAGGCCTGGACGCCCGCAGGACTCCGGTGTACTACTGGGGGGCCATGCCTTCGATTTAAGTCTTGGTGTAGAGCCAGAGATGTGCCAGAGGCTTTGGGGGAGCAGCACATCCCCAACCGGAGCTGCACATGCTGAGGGTGAAACAGGGCTGAGTTTGCTTCCAGGCTCTGCGGGGTGAAGTGTGTGGTCAGTGTGGGGCTGCGGGTGGCCTGTCCCTTCCAGCAGCGTAAACCTGCCATTGTCTCATCATCTGTCAATCTCCTCTCCAGTTTCAGAAGTTTCTCACCTTGTCCCGTCCGTTGCTGGAATGTGAGAGCCCTGCCCTGGAGCAGCCCAAGGCTCTCAGGCCTCTCAGCAGCAGCAGCAGTGTCTCTGTGATTGGGAAGGTGAGCACCTGAGCAGGGGAATCTGAAGGAGCAGTGTTGGGATGGTGCTGGGATAACTGTCCCTGCTGCTGCCCCCAGCCCCAGCCTTCCCACCTGGCACAGGCATTCTTTCCCAGAAGCAATGCTTTTGCAAGGCACCAGTGGCAGTAGGAGCAGGGTCTGCCCCAGGTGGTGGGTGCTGGGGACTGGGGATGCTCCCATAGGGGTGGCAGGTTTCCAGCTCTGTTGTGTCGTACTGGGAGGGTCAAATGCATCCCAGCTTTTTGTCTGCCCAGGGGTTTGCTGTTAGAGTTCCAGCAGACCCACAGTTGTCTGTGCCTGGGAGAGCTGCGGTGAAAGCCCAGGAGCTGATGCTTGCTGTGGTCCCCCTTCCCAGACTGATGCAGACCTGGCCTGGGACTGTGCTGCTCACGGCCTCGAGGACCCAGTGCTGCCAAAGAAGCAAGTCTGCAGCACCCCGAGACTGGAGAGGAAGGTGGGCTGGCACCGGGCCCGAGAGCAGCCCCTGCCACAGCGCAGTGATGGGGAGGAAGAAGAGGAGGAAACTGCCTTGGGTGTGGAGCTAGACAGCAGCATGAAGGCTGTGGATTTCTGTGTGAGCGAGGCTGGGGCAGCAGTGGAGGAGCACGAAGACCCCTGCATCATCAACACAGGTGATGTGTCTCTGAGTGAGCTGGTGAAGTCCATGCACTCGTACTGCCTGCCCACCTTCACTGTGTGCCTGGACCCCGAGACTGAGCCCGTGGCCAAGGAGCTTCTGAGCAGTCCGGTCTTGCTGGAAATTGTACCTGGCGAGGGAGAGAGTGTGGAGATCCCTGTGGTCCTGCAGCCCTTGGCTCCTAGCTCCCTCGATCTGGAGCTCCAGCTCCTAGGAGCAGAGGAGGGTACCAGGGCATCAATCCCAGAGGATAAAGAGGAACTGCCAGGAACTCCAACCCAGGAAACTGGGGTGGAGGAGAAGAAGGAGGAAAAACTGCCTGGGAAGGAGCCCTCTTGCACTACCCCAGAGGGCACCTCCCCACCAGAGGCAGCAGCACCTGGAGCCTGGAGTCCCAACAGCAGCTCCTGGCACAGCACGGAA